GGGCTGTGTGTTTGGGATCATTGTCATGCTGGAAGACCCAGCCACGTTTCATCTTCAAAGCTCTCACTGATGGAAGGAGGTTTTGGCTCAAAATCTCACGAGACATGGCCCCATTCATTCTTTCCTTAACACTAGGACCGCCGTGCTCTAAACATACCTTGCACCGCCCCCTGCGGTCAGTTGACCGCTATGTATTTTGCGCTGATACAGCCTTTTGCCAAATTGATTGTTCACTAAACCAGAATTTGTTGTTGCAAGGAAATCGTGATCATAATGAAACTGTGTAAATTATTTGTCTAAATATGCTAAGTAATTGTAATTCCAGCCGAAATAAAAAAAAATTACGAAGACTTTTCTGGCTAGATTTATTTTGTAACTTTGCAAACACGTAAAAGGTCGGTCACTATATGTTAAATTTGACTCAGTAACAATATTTAAATTCAAACAATATAAATGATAGTTTAGAGCACGGGACCATAACGTCTTCGCGCTGCTATATACGTCTACTTCTTACGTCATCTCCAGACTGTTTTCTCTTTCCAGCCGAAATCACTGTGGGAAATATTATCTCGATAATAATAATAGTATTCGTATACATAGTTCCCACAGACCAATGAATGTCACATGACCTCCTCGGAGACGCCATCTTTGATGGCACGCTGCTGTGTTTGTGCATTCCATTAAACAGAAGAATGAGAATAAATGTAGATATTCAAACGCAAATTGGAAAAAAAGGGCAACTTTTGAGCAAATAATTGTATATTAATACAATGGCACCACAGTTTAACGTGCTACGGACATGTTTTACATATTTGATCAAATTATGCAGCAAAAATTAACAAGCAATGCAAATATTTCTCAAAAACTTTAGATTTAATACCAGTTGGAGCTCCATTTAATTATTTTAATTATATTAACAATTAATTTAATTAATGCTAATGCCACACGGACACTCTGGATTGCTGTTATTGTTTATACCGCGTTTTTGACCGTATGTTTTGGTGAATGGTGGGCAACTGATTTTTCCAGGCGTAAAGAGCAGTTTATTTTATGGCACAGATCTTTTTACAGAAGCAATGCTGTTTGTGAACATTGTTTTAGCCCACCATAGAACTATTATCTATTTAATACATTTACGTTGCCCTCGAGAGCCTCGGACACGACACCGATCCTCCTCATAATAAAGTAATCTAAATAATGAAACTCTCAAGTTACCAGATATCAGCATACACAAGTTAGTACTGAGTAAATTACGTCTGTCAACACATTATAAGATACGATACGCACCTGACACAAAGTGCTCCGAGCATATTCTTGCGTGTTTTGAGGGAGTTTCTTGCCTGTTTTTCTTCGCAAGCCATAACCTCCGTGGTTGTTCTGACAAAAGCTTAGTCTTCTCACATTCATGAAGTCTAATGATGGGTATACTGTAAAATCCAAGTTTAACGGAACCTCCGGCACGATTTGAACATCCATTGACCCAGCAGGAGATGACCATTTTCAACTTTATCACGACATTAACACGTTTCAGCTTCTTTTTCTATTGTTTTGCCCACAGAATGCCAATACAAATGGCGCCGGGTCGGCAAATCCCCGTATGTAGGAACTATGTATATACGTCTACTTCTTACGTCATCTCCAGACTGTTTTCTCTTTCCAGCCGAAATCACTGTGGGAAATATTATCTCGATAATAATAATAGTATTCGTATTGACACAAGATCATCAGCTATAGGCTACCATCGTCAATGTACAATCTTCAATTTTACACGGGACACGTTATATATATATATATTTGTATTTATTTGAGACAAGCAGTGCTCTTTATGATCAGAAGAAAATTATAATCATTGCCTTGCAGTGTGCGCTGTGCAGAATAACACAGTGTTGTCTGGATAAAATAATAATATGAATAAGAATATATGAGGGCCGCTTCTGCCCCACAGTCGCTCTCCTCCTGCAGTGTCCGCGGGTGACGAGAGGCCTCACAGCGCTCTATCTGCACTCTGCCTTGATAGTTCATCTAATTGTTCTATTTTATTGCGATATTGTATTCTGCTTTATTGCCTTCTTCTATGTATAAATATAAGAATGTAATTGATGATGAATGAAAAGGCAGAATGGAGCAACAGCGCGCACACCTGCGTATGGCTGGCATTACGCGGGTCATGTGCGTTATTGCTTCTGGACTTGTTACAACACTGCTGTCAGTGCCGTGAATGCACTACGGGTTTACGTTCAGATTTAGAATATTATAGGTGTTCTCCCCGCTGTGACATCTCACCTCCGTCAGACTGTTCTCATTCAATGTCTTGAAGCACTGTCTGGGCTTCATACCGTGTACTTGCAGCTCTATTCATGTAATACTCCTCTCAATTCAAAACTCTTTCTCTCTCCCAAATAATAAAAAAAACTTCAAGTCCCTTTAGAGTCTAATGACAACATATTGATAAATTTTTATAAGGCGCAAAAAAACCCCGGGAAAGGTATATGACAACAGTCGCCCCTGCGCCATGTATCCCTATGGGGCAGCAGAAAGGGCTGTGGTTTAGAAAAGTTAAAATGCGTGTAAATCTTGTTTTCTTTACTTTTTCCAAAAACAAAACACACCAAAATATAAACAACAAGTACCCAGTAAAAGTCATAAAATTTCAACTTCTGGCGTTTTGTTTTGAATACACTAATTAGCATATTAAAGTGAGTGACGGTCAGTTGACCGCTAGGGGCGCTCCTAGTGTTAACACGGATCAGTCGTCCTGTCCCCTTAGCAGAAAAACAGCCCCAAAGCATGACGTTTCCACCCCCATGCTTCACAGTAGGTATGGTGTTCTTGGGATGCAACTCAGTATTCTTCTTCCTCCAAACACGACGAGTTGAGTTTATACCAAACCGTTCTACTTTGGTTTCATCTGACAACAAGACATTCTCCCAATCCTCTGCTGTATCATCCATGTGCTCTCTGGCAAACTTCAGACGGGCCTGGACATGCACTGGCTTCAGCAGGGGGACACGTCTGGCACTGCAGGATTTGATTCCCTGTCGTCGTAGTGTGTTACTGATGGTAACCTTTGTTACTTTGGTCCCAGCTCTCTGCAGGTCATTCACCAGGTCCCCCCGTGTGGTTCTGGGATATTTGATCACCGTTCTCATGATCATTTTGACCCCACGGGATGAGATCTTGCGATCGAGGGAGATTATCAGTGGTCTTGTATGTCTTCCATTTTCTGATAATTGCTCCCACAGCTGATTTGTTCACACCAAGCTGCTTGCCTATTGTAGATTCACTCTTCCCAGTCTGGTGTAGGTCTACAATTCTTTTCCTGGTGTCCTTCGACAGCTCTTTGGTCTTGGCCATAGTGGAGTTTGGAGTCTGACTGATTGAGGCTGTGGACAGGTGTCTTTTATCCAGATAATGAGTTCACCGTATACCTATGATGTACCTATGAGGAAAATTACAGACCTCTGTCATTATTTTAAGTGGGAGAACTGGCACAATCGGTGGCTGACTAAATACTTTTTTGCCCCACTGTACGTGTGCTTTGCTAGCGGAGGAGGATTCTACTTGTTCGTCCAAACTAAAGCTGTTTCACTTTCCATTTTCACTGGTGCTGTTACAGAAGGATGTTGGTTCTTTCCCGTCTTTGCGGCGCAAAGGAGGAGGATGTTGTTGAGGAATTGAGTATACTGCTGGGGCTCACGTGTGTCGTGTTGTAAAGTTCCTCTGCCCCCTACTGGCCGGAAGCTAGAACTACATTGTTTTTGATCCTCCTATGAACGCTGTGTATTTGCAAAAGGACCTGGTCCTTTCCGTTCACAGCAACTGGGCCTCAGACACACATAAACACACATACACACACACCCATTTCTTAAATTTTACAGATCAATAATTCATAGATTCCAAAAGGAAAATGTATTTTTATTATGGCTTTGGAAAAAATAAAAAAGTAAGTAGCAGAGCACTTAAGCAGAAGTAGGACAGGAGGGTGTGTCTGTATGTATGTGTGTGAGTGTGTGTCTGCGTGGTGTGTGTGTGTGTGTGTGTGTGTGTGTGTGTGTGCGTGTGTGTGTCTGTGTGTGTGTCTGCGTGTGTGTTTGTGTGTGTGTGTGTGTGTGTGAAAGAGGCTGATTTGAACAGGAGTTAGATGAAGCTAATTTTCTTATATGGGCAGATGGGTCGCTAAGGCAACAAGGAGGAGGAGCAAGTGGAGGAGGAGGGCGGAGGAGGAGGAGCAGGAGTGGGAGGGGGAGGAGCAGGAGAGGGAAGAGCAGGAGTAGGAGGGAGGGGGGAAGAGGAGGAGCCGGAGGAGGAAGGGGGGGGGGGGGAGGAGGAGGAGCAGGAGGAGGCAGAGACCAGTCTGACATTGAGAGCACAGGGACAGTACTATAAATAGTCTGAGCTGAACTTCACTGAACCATCAGTCTGTACAGACACAGAGAGAGACCAGAGAGACACCAGAGAGAGAGACCAGAGAGAGAGACCAGAGAGAGACCAGAGAGGGACCATACATATATCTCTGTGTGTGGAGGAAATGTGTCTGACTGAGATGAATGAATTTAATATGTCTCAAGCACAGATGACCCACGATAAAGCTGTCAGTGTGTGTGTGTGTCTGTGTGTGTGGAGACTAGACTATCAAAGAAGACACAAACAGATGTTATAAAATCTTTGCCCAATGATTTGGAGTTGGTCCCTGCTCCGTCGGTCCCCGCTTTGTCGGTCCCCTCTCTGTAGGTCCCCGCTCCATCGGTCCCCGCTCTGTGGGTCCCCTCTCCGTTGGTCCCCTCTCCATTGGTCCCTTCTCCGTCGGTCCCCGCTCCGTCAGTCCCCGCTCCGTCAGTCCCCTCTCTGTAGGTCTCCTCTCCTTCACCCCCCCCCCCCCCCCCCCCCTCCATTGCCCCCCTCCCTCGACACATCCCGCGAAGTTTGGGTCCCTGCCTCCTCACAGACGCTGATGACCATAATACTGCAAACTGCACATAAACCAGAGAGAACGGCTGAATATGGTTTGGATCGATGACTGCGGAGTGTGTGGGGCTGAAGAGGATGTGAGCAGAGATAAATGTGTGTGTGTATGTGTGTGTATCCCCCACTATCCGGACAACAAGCTGCAATTATGATGCCGGTGCAATCGATGGTGTCCGCAGAGATGCTATCACCGCCGCCACGCGCTAACCACACATTTGTGAACCAAGGTTATTTACTGTCTGGACAAAACCTTTATATTTATGGAATGTTTAATTATAACTACTGTGTTTTTTCTGTGTTTGAATAATGTCCTTTTAAATTATTTAAAATATTTTTTCTTTCTTAATCTTTCAGTCTGGCTCCTGCAGCGGGACATTTGGGCACTTCTAAAAGACCTGGGCATGCAACCAATGACCTGTCTCTGTTCACTATTGTAGTATTTCTTAAATGTTTATCTGGTCTCTCTCTCTGGTCTCTCTCTGGTCTCTCTCTGGTCTCTCCCTGGTCTCTCTCTGGTCTCTCTCTGGTCTCTCTTTGGTCTCTCTCTCTGGTCTCTCTCTGGTCTCTCTCTGGTCTCTCTCTCTGGTCTCTCTCTGGTCTCTCTCTGGTCTCTCTCTCTGGTCTCCCTGTGGTCTCTCTCTGGTTTCTCTCTCTGGTCTCTCTCTGGTTTCTCTCTAGTCTCTCACTCTGGTCTCTCTCTCTGGTCTCTCTCACTGGTCTCTCTCTGGTCTCTCTCTCTGGTCTCTCTCTGGTCTCTCTCTGGTCTCTCTCTCTGGTCTCCCTGTGGTCTCTCTCTGGTCTCTCTCACTGGTCTCTCTCTGGTCTCTCTCTCTGGTCTCTCTCTGGTCTCTCTCTGGTTTCTCTCTAGTCTCTCTCTCTGGTCTCTCTCGCTGGTCTCTCTCTCTGGTCTCTCTCTCTGGTCTCTGGTCTCTTTTTCTGGTCTCTCTTTCTGGTCTCACCATAATAGACTGAGGAACTTTGTGACATAAATTTCCTCAGTTTGGATGAAAACAAGAGAGTAGGGTGTGAGACGGTTCCTAAGTCCAAAGAGATGATTTAGCAGAACACGTCCCCTTTAATATATTCTGCATTATTAATGCAGCCTGTTGTTCTGGATCCTCATCCTCAGCCGGAGCACACTGAGGACCACATCAAACACCTCAGAGCAGCACACACACACACACACACACACACACACAAGAGACACACAAAGACACACACTGCGCCACACTATTTTTACCTTGGAAAGTCTGGGAACGCATTCATTTGAAGTGTTTTTTTGCGAGTTCTGAATCTGAATGTGAGCGATGCAGAGGAGCGCTTCTATGACACAAGGACGATCCAAGGGCGCCGCGAGCACAGGGACAACGAACCCTTTGTCCACTTGTTTATGGGCTTGATAACATCTCTGTTTGTAAAGTAGTCGAAGAAGATTGTCGCTTTCACACAACTCACTCAAATGGAAGAAAAAAGTATTTAATGTAAATCTGCAGCAGATTGAACCACTAATGCTTATTTACGTAGCACACATTCAGATTCAGAGTCCCCAGTGTGTCACCAAACAGGTACCGCAGTAAAACCACAGAGTCCCCATTGTGTCACCAAACAGGTACCGCAGGAAAACCGCAGAGTCCCCAGTGTGTCACCAAACAGGTACCGCAATAAAACCGCAGAGTCCCCAGTGTGTCACCAAACAGGTACATCAGTAACACAAGCTAAAGAAACAGAAACAAAATCTTAAAACAAGATCATTACAGTCCTTGTTCAGACTGTTAGCATGTTAGCATGTCCTGCACATGAGCCTGGAACATGGCTCATCCAGGGGCCAGAAGAGAGACCAGAGAGTAGTAGGTTTCCTCCGGGTGCTCCGGTTTTCCCTACCACTAAAAACATGCACACTAGGTAAAATCCTCCAGCTCCGGTAGTCCTGACCAAGTCGAGCAACAACATCTGGAGATGGGATCCCGGGCGCTGTTCTACGGCGACCACTGTAAGCCTTAGTGGCATCAGGATGGGTAAAATGCATAGACTGTATATATTAATGGACAGAGTCATGCCTATCTCCGCCGTTCATAGGAGTTGGCCATGAAAAGTGCTTTCATGGAGCAATCCAAGATGGCCGCGAGTGGTCCCGCCCACAAGAAAATTGTGAAAAAACGCATCTGCGCATGCGTCAGCCGGCGCAGCTCCATTCATTTGAACGAGAGACTTCAAAAATTCCCCGCAAGTAAACTAGAGTGGACCAAAAAAAATCACCCCCCTCAGCATTGACACACATGTGGAACGGAGCTTTGGGCCAAGAGCCAACTTTTGGTCCATCCTGTGAAGACGTTTTTGAGGGGTCTGCTAACGCTATATGTTAGCATTGGCTAATTCTTCTCCTGGGTCCACCCCCAACGGCCCGGGGTGGTATTGCAAGCATGTCAGCGCACGTCATTTTGGCCACTTTTGAGCTGGGACCCTCCCCCACTGGTAAAATGCAGAGGGAACATTTTCCTACGGGGACAATAAAGTGCACATTTACATTCACATTTACATTTACCAGAGAGAGACCAAAGATACCAGAGAGAGACCAGTCCAGAGAAAGACAAGAGAGAGACCAGAGAAAGACCAGAGAGACCCTCCTCTCCCTGGCGTTCCCACTGACGTCTGTCAGACTACTGTGATTCTGGAACAGTCTGTAGTTCAGAGTATTTATGACCCTATGGATCTGTTACACACAAAGAACTCAAGGTTAATGTGGAGGTCTCTCTGATCCAAGAGGAGCCTCCCACGTGAGCACAGCTAACTGCTAACATCAGCTAACACATGCTAACATCAGCTAACAAAAGCTAACACATGCCAACATTAGGTCAGTCTGTAGGTCTGTCTGCAAATCTGTCTGTAGGTCTGTCTGGAGGTCTGTCTGTTTGTAGATTAGTCTGTAGGTCTGTCTGCCTATCTGTCTGTAGTTCTGTCTGTAGATCAGTCTGGAGGTCTGTCTGTCTGTAGATCTGTCTGTAGGTCTGTCTGTCTGTAGGTCCGTCTGTCTGTCTGTTGGTCAGTCTGTGGTTCTGTCTGTAGATCAGTCTGGAGGTCTGTCTGTCTGTAGATCTGTCTGTAGGTCTGTCTGTCTGTAGGTCCGTCTGTCTGTCTGTTGGTCAGTCTGTGGTTCTGTCTGTAGATCAGTCTGTAGGTCTGTCTATATGTCTGTAGGTCTGTCAGTAGGTCAGTTTGTAGGTGTGTCTGTAGGTCTGTCTGTAGATCAGTCTGTAGGTCTGTCTGTCAGTCTGTAGGTCCGTCTGTCTGTCTGTTGCTCAGTCTGTGGTTCTGTCTGTAGATCAGTCTGTAGGTCTGTCTATATGTCTGTAGGTCTGTCTGCCTGTCTGTCTGTAGGTCAAGTCTGTAGGTCCGTCTAGGTCTGTCTGTAGGTCAGTCTTTAGGTTAGTCTGTAGGTCTGTCTGTAGGTCTGTCTGCCTTTGTGTCTGTAGGTAGGTCTATCTGTAGGTCTGTCTGTATGTATATAGGTCTGTCGTCATGAAGTCATTTGAACGCCTGGTTCTCTCCCATCTCAAGTCCCTCACCTCCCCCCTCCTGGACCCCCTGCAGTTCGCCTACAGAGCCAACAGATCTGTAGACAACGCCATTAACCTGGCCCTCCACCACATCCTACAGCACCTGGACTCCCCGGGGACCTACGCCAGGATCCTGTTCGTGGACTTCAGTTCTGCCTTCAACACAATCCTGCCATCCCTGCTCCAGGACAAGCTCTCCCAGCTCAACGTGCCCGATTCCACCTGCAGGTGGATCACTGACTTCCTGACGGACAGGAAGCAGCGAGTGCGTCTGGGGAAGAATGTCTCGGACTCTCGGATTATAAATATAGGAGCCCCACAGGGCTGTGTTCTTTCTCCCCTGCTCTTCTCCCTGTACACCAACCACTGCACCTCCAGCCACGACTCCGTGAAGCTGATCAAGTTCGCGGACGACACCACCCTCATTGGACTCATCTCCAACAACGATGAGCCCTCCTACAGGAGGGAGGTGGACCGGCTGGTGTCCTGGTGCAGTGGTATCAACCTGGAGCTGAACGCCCAGAAGACAGTGGAGATGATTGTGGACTTCAGGAAGAGCACTGTCCCCCCGCCCCCACCCTCCGTGATGGACTCCCCCATCACCTCTGTGGAGTCCTTCCGTTTCCTGGGCACCACCATCACCCAGGACCTCAAGTGGGAGCCGACCATCAGCTCCCTCATCAAGAAGGCCCAGCAGAGGATGTACTTCCTGCGGCAGCTCAGGAAAGCCAAGCTGCCTGCACAGATGTTGGTGCAGTTCTACACGGCCATCATCGAGTCCATCCTCACCTCCTCCATCACCGTGTGGTTCGCTGGAGCCACAGTCAGGGACAAACAGAGACTACAGCGCATTGTGCGCTCTGCAGAGGAAGTGATCGGCCGCAGCCTTCCATCGCTGCAGGACCTATACGTCGCCCTAGCTCGAGGCCGGGCTGGTCGTATCACAGCCGACCCCTCTCACCCTGCACATGGACTATTCCAACCACTCCCCTCAGGCAGGAGGCTGCGGTCCATCAGGACTAGAACCTCCCGCCACAAGAACAGTTTCTTCCCCTCTGCTGTTGGACACTTGAACACTTCTTAACCTGTCCCCCCGCCCTTTATAAAGTCACTTTACTGCCCATCATACGTCACTTTACTTCACTGTACGTTTGTCACCTTACATTGTGTGCACCATGTGCACTTGTATATTGTAAATAGTAACTGTAACTCTATTTTAAATTTACATTTATTCTTTAGTGTTTTAAGTGTTTTTTATTCTTATTTTTATTATCTCTTTTTGACTGTTGCACTGAGCCAAAGCAATTTCCTAGTCTGTGACCTCCTGTTACTTACGTGGCAGTAAAAATGATTCTGATTCTGTAGGTCAGTCTGTAGGTCAGTCTGTAGGTCAGTCTGTAGGTCTGTCTGTCTGTCTGTCTGTCTGTATGTAGGTCTGTCTGTAGGTCAGTCTGTAGGTATGTTTGTAGGTCTGTCTCAAGCCCCGGCAATCCAAGATGGCGCTGTATTCAAATGAATGGCTTGTGCTCAGTAGCTCCCCCCATGGACACAGAGAGATTAGTGGAACTCGCCCATATTTGGGCATTGTCTGGTCCTCCCGGTTCTGTGCAGTGGACAAGTTCCCATGATGCTTTGCGCCAAATACGTGGGTGTGGTTCTCATGCACATGCTCTGACCAATCAGAGGGCAGGTTCTCTGTCAGGTTCTCTGTCAGGTTCTCTGCAGGTTCTCTGCAGGTTCTCTGTCAGGTTCTCTGTCAGGTTCTCTGTCAGGCTCTCTGTCAGGTTCTCTGTAGGTTCTCTGTAGCCTCTCTGTCAGGTTCTTTGTCAGGTTCTTTGTCAGATTCTCTGTCAGGTTCTCTGTCAGATTCTCTGTCAGTGTGACGGAGCGCCAGTGACTGCTCCGTCATGAACTGTGTGGTGCTCTCTCCCTGCGCTGAAGAGAGGAGCGCGTCTGCGTGCGTGTGGCGCGGCATGCCGGCAGGTCCGCGCTAGTAACCGCACGGCCCTGCATCAACACAAACTCTTCCCCTGCCAATACTATCCCCGTAGCGCACAAGGGTGCACACTTGCTGCCTACACACACATCTCATCTTCCCCCATACACAACTCACCTGCTGCTTGTCTCGGTCCACTGGCCAAACCGAGGCACTTCCTGGTCGCACCATATATAGCGCAGGGCGCGCGCATGTGACTGGCCAGAGGACTCTAATTTCTTAAAGTATTAAAAATGTGTTTTTTTTTCTATTTGTGCATTGCTATATGGGGCAATGGAGAGGCATGTTCACACTGAGGAACAGGGAGGGAACTATGTGTGGGATTTCGTTGTTTTTCTGTTTAGAAGAAAAACCCCTGTTAATTTATTAATGGGTTAGCCCAGGGGCGGGGCTAACTAGTTAAAAGAGTGCGTGCTCACTCCGGATTGTGGTCTGTCAGTCTGTGAGTGAGCTGGAGTGAGCTGGACTGAAATCGAACCCAAACTGAGCTGGCTGTAAGTCCTGTTTTTGTGAGTCTGTTGTTGTTTTTTTTTTTGCTGCACTGTAAATATTTTCCACTCTGCACTGGTTTGGTGTGAAAATAAAGTCACCACAATTCATTTTTCCGACTGAGCCATCATTATTCCCATCATTTTTAAACGAACCTTCACATTTGGTGTCAGAAGTGGGATGGCTAGTCGGCGTATGAAGACTTTTGCTAAGCGCACAGGACTGCGCTCAGGGAAGCTGGAAACAGTGCAGGATGACCCAGCCTGGGTCACAGACGAGGAAGACGCAGGGGGCGCTACTGCTCCTCTCCTTAAACAGCCAAGACCGGGAGAAGCCAGCGCGCAGGAGATGCTCGCCATGATGCGGTCTTTCATGGAGGGTCAGGAGCGGCGCGAAGACCGGTTCCTGGCGGAGCTCAGAGGATTGAGGGACTCGTTTCCAGTACCAGACTGTACCAGGTCGCCATCAGAGGGCACAGAAACGAGTATGAGACTGGATCTGCCTACTCCAGCACCCCGCAGACGCCGCAGTTCCGCCGAACCGCAGAGGCCCAGTTTGGGATCGGAGAGGGTGCGGTCCCGACCGGAAAGTCGACCCGCCGGGGACCCAAAGATTCCCCAGTACCTGGCCGGGGAGGACATTGAAAATTACCTCCTCCGATTCGAGAGGATTGCCAAAACCTGGGGTTGGCCAGAGTGTGAGTGGGCGTGTCGTTTGGTGCCACTACTCTCTGGGAAGGCACTCGAAGCGTACACCGCTATGGACGAGGAGCGGGCCACACATATTCGGATCTTAAGGACGCTTTGCTCACAAAATTTGACATATCCCCAGAGACCTACAGACAGAAGTTCCGGACGGTGACGATTCCTGCTGGAGAGAACCCTGCGGAGACGTACCACCGCCTCAAGGGGCTCTACCGCCGATGGATCCGCCCGGAGCAGCACACGAAGGAGCAGATCGGAGAGCAGATCATCCTGGAGCAGCTTCTGCGTGTTTTCCCTGCAGATATCCGCACCTGGGTGAAGGAGCACGAGCCGACAGAGGGCCTAGCGGCGGCTAAACTAGCGCAGCAGTACCTCAACGCTCGGAGAGGAGGCCCGGCGCCTTACCAAGGTGGTCCCGGACGTCAGACTCCAGCACAGACCAGCTCTGCCAGAGTCCACACACAGCAGTCTCCAGACTCCAACCATGCAGCCAGCCAGCGCGGTCCCGGTAAGGACTTTGTGTGTTTTTATTGCCAGCAGTTGGGGCACAAAGCCTCTGTATGCCCAATAAAAAAAGCTAAATTGACTGGCGCATGTTACACACCCCGTGCAGAGGACTTAAGTGCCGTAGGCAGGCGTCAGCGCTTCAAAGAAGTCTCTATTAATGGAGAGCCTGTGACTGCCCTGATTGACTCTGGGAGCTATATGACACTGATTCGGAGGGATTTAGTGCCAACGGGCCAGGTGGATTATAGCAGAAAGGAGGACATTTTCTGTGTACACGGTGACAGACATTCTTACCCAACAGCAGAACTCACACTAGTGGTCAATAAGCAGCCCTATTTATTGACTGTGGGGGTGGTAGAAGGGTTACCTGTAGCAGCTATTTTGGGTTGGGATATACCTGTGCTGTTGGACATACTGCGGGAAGAGGGACCCAAGGACAGTGACTGTGGAAGGGGGTTTTCTGGACTGGTGATTACTCGTTCACAGGCTAAAGCGGGGGGTAAGCCAGTCCCAGTTCAGAGAGTACCAGAGCCTGAACTTGAGCCATTTTCCACATTGGACTCTAGTTTATTTGAAGGGGGAACAAAGGGGCCAAGAAAGTGTCGCAAGCAGCGGCGCTTCGAGAAAGGGCTAAAGCGGGCAGAGCCAAACTGTCAGGACTTTTTGTGGGAAGTTCCGGCGGACATTGGGGCAGTGCAAAGAGCGGACGCAACATTAAAATCACTGTTTGCGAAAGTGATTGGGGGACTAGATATGGCAAAGGGGGACAAGGATTGTTTTATTGTTGACAGTGCTATTTTGTATGCAGTGGCAGACGGTGTCAAGCGCCTCGTGGTGCCTGTGTCCTGCCGGCCAATGATTATGCACCTGGCACACACCTTGCCTTGGGCTGGTCATCTGGGCCGCAACAAAACCCATTTACGCATAGCCTCGAGGTTTTATTGGCCGTCTATGTATACAGATGTCCAAAACTACTGTAAATTCTGTCCTGTCTGCCAGAAAACTAGTTTTGTTCGCCAATCTGACCGTGCGTACCTCCAACCTATGCCTGTCATTTCCACCCCATTTCGCCGCATAGCAATGGACATTGTAGGGCCCTTAGTTCGGAGCAGTGGAGGCCACCAGTACATCCTGGTCCTCTGCGATTATGCCACACGGTTCCCCGAGGCGTTCCCCTTGCGCACCGTTACTGCCCCTGCTGTGCTGCGGTGTCTTGTTCAGTTGTTTTCCAGGGTTGGGGTCCCGGACGAGATTGTGACGGACCAGGGGACCAACTTCACCTCCCGCCTGATGCAGCTCTTCCACCGCCAGCTGGGAATCTCTGCGATCAAGGCCACCCCGTACCACCCACAGACTGACGGTTTGGTCGAGAGGTTCAACCAGACGCTGAAGAGGATGCTGCAGAAATTCGTGGCCGATACCGGACGGGACTGGGACCAGTGGCTACCCTACCTGCTCTTCGCCTACCGAGAGGCACCCCAAGCCTCCACCGGTTTCTCCCCGTTCGAGCTGCTCTATGGATGGGATGTCCAGGGTCCGCTAGACCTGCTACTGAAGGCCTGGGAGGCTCCCGCCTCGACCACCAGCGATCGCCATATTGTCCAGTTTGTGTTGGAGATGCGTGATCGGCTGGCCAAGTATCGGGAGGAGGCGGAGGTCAACCTACGCGCTGCCCAGCGGTCCCAGAAGGCGTGGTACGACCAACAGGCCCGACATCGCGAGTTCCAGCTCGGTCAGAAGGTCCTGCTACTCCTGCCATCGTCCACCCACAAGCTTCTGGCGAAGTGGCAGGGGCCATACTCTGTGGTCAGGAAGATGGGCCCTGTGACCTACGAGATCCACCACCCAGAGAAGAGGAAAGCGAAGCAGACCTACCACGTCAATCTGCTGAAGGAGTGGAAAGAGGCGGCAGTTCCAGCTTCCATGGCGTCCCTGCTGGTGACCGAGGTAGACAGTGACGGGGAGGAAGAATCTACGCTTTCCGACCTCCAGCGGCCTGCTGAACCAGCTCTGGGTCATCTCACCGCCACCCAGTCGACCCAGCTGTGTCAGGTTTTCCAGGGGGTCTCCAAGCTCTTCGCTGCCAGTCCAGGAAGGACTACCCTCGTCGAGCACGTCATCCGGCTGAAAGACAAAGGCCCAGTTCGCCAGAGGTCTTATCGGGTTCCCCAACATCTTGTCGCCCAGCTGTTGACGGAGGTGGAAGATAGCAGCGCCTTGGTGTGATCGAGCCATCCCAGGCAGAGTGGTGTAGTCCGGTGGTCATCGTCGTGAAGAAAGACGGGTCGCTCCGCATCTGCATCGACTTCCGGAAGCTCAACGCCATGTCAGAGTTCGACGCCTACCCGATGCCCCGGATAGACGACCTCCTGGAAAAGATTGGCCGGGCCCGGTTCATCACGACCCTCGACCTCTGCAAAGGTTACTGGCAGGTGCCACTAGAAGTGACCAGTCGTCCCTACACGGCGTTCCAGACCCCTGCTGGCCTCTTCCAGTTCACAATGATGCCATTCGGTCTCCATGGAGCACCCGCCACATTCCAGAGACTGATGGACCGTGTGCTCAGGGGCTGTGAGGACTGCAGTGCTGCGTACCTGGACGACGTGGTCATCTTCAGCGACACCTGGGAACAGCACCTGCGTCATCTGGAGAGAGTCCTCGGCCAGATAGAGCGGGCGGGACTGACACTTAACCCGTCAAAGTGTCAGTGGGCCAAAGAAGAGGCTAAGTATCTCGGCTACCGGCTGGGGCGAGGAGAAGTCCGACCACAGATGGACAAAGTAGAGGCCATCCGCAGCTGTCCACGCCCTCGCACAAAGAAGGAGGTGAGGTCCTTCTTGGGCTTGGCCGGCTGGTATCGTCGGTTCGTCCCACAGTTCGCCACCATCGCAGCTCCACTGACCGCGCTGACTATGAAGGACCAGAGGAACCCGGTCGTCTGGAACGAGGACTGCGAGACAGCCTTCCAGGCCCTCAAATCCTGCCTCTGCTCATCGCCGGTGCTGCGGAGCCCCGACTTCGAACAGCGGTTCCTGGTCCAGACTGACGCTTCTGCCGTGGGACTAGGAGCGGTCCTGGCTCAAGGGGACCCTGGGGAGAAGAACGTCCTGTACGGTACCTGAGCCGGAAGCTGCTGCCGCGAGAGACCAGGTACTCTACTACCGTGGAGAAGGAGGGCCTGGCCATCAAGTGGGCTCTGGAGAGCCTGCAGTACTACCTGCTGGGAAGAGAGTTCGACCTCGAGACGGACCACCGGGCGCTGACTTGGATGAATTCCATGAAGGGACCATAACAGTCGTCTCACCCGCTGGTACCTCTCCCTCCAGCCGTTCCAGTTCCAGATCCGCCATCGAGCTGGGAAGACCAATGTCGTGGCAGACTACCTGTCCAGGTTGCCGCACATCGTCAACCTCGAGGAGGAGGGGGATAATGTGACGGAGCGCCAGTGACTGCTCCGTCATGAACTGTGTGGTGCTCTCTCCCTGCGCTGAAGAGAGGAGCGCGTCTGCGTGCGTGTGGCGCGGCATGCCGGCAGGTCCGCGCTAGTAACCGCACGGCCCTGCATCAACACAAACTCTTCCCCTGCCAATACTATCCCCGTAGCGCACAAGGGTGCACACTTGCTGCCTACACACACATCTCATCTTCCCCCATACACAACTCACCTGCTGCTTGTCTCGGTCCACTGGCCAAACCGAGGCACTTCCTGGTCGCACCATATATAGCGCAGGGCGCGCGCATGTGACTGGCCAGAGGACTCTAATTTCTTAAAGTATTAAAAATGTGTTTTTTTTTCTATTTGTGCATTGCTATATGGGGCAATGGAGAGGCATGTTCACACTGAGGAACAGGGAGGGAACTATGTGTGGGATTTCGTTGTTTTTCTGTTTAGAAGAAAAACCCCTGTTAATTTATTAATGGGTTAGCCCAGGGGCGGGGCTAACTAGTTAAAAGAGTGCGTGCTCACTCCGGATTGTGGTCTGTCAGTCTGTGAGTGAGCTGGAGTGAGCTGGACTGAAATCGAACCCAAACTGAGCTGGCTGTAAGTCCTGTTTTTGTGAGTCTGTTGTTGTTTTTTTTTTTGCTGCACTGTAAATATTTTCCACTCTGCACTGGTTTGGTGTGAAAATAAAGTCACCACAATTCATTTTTCCGACTGAGCCATCATTATTCCCATCATTTTTAAACGAACCTTCACAGTCAGGTTCTCTGTAGGTTCTCTGTAGAGTTCTCTGTCAGCTGAGGTTGAGCTGTTTTAGTTTACATTGAGTTTTGTGGGGAAAATGTCAGTGTAGCCCACGTGAATGTAGTCTGGTTTAGACTGGTTTAGTGCAGTACCATGAGAATCCCGCAAGCACATGGTCCTTCAGCTCCAAGCTAGTTTTACCCGATCCAGTTATTATAATTGATCCATGGTCTGTCTGTAAGTCAGAGCTGTGATGTTACACAGAGTCGACAGTTGTGTTTTTTAGTAGAAGCACAGGTACAGACCCAGGACTGAGACTGTAGACCCAGGACTGAGGCTGTAGACCCAGGACTGAGGCTGTAGATCCAGGGCTGAGGCTGTAGACCCAGGACTGAGGCTGTAGATCCAGGGCTGAGGCTGTAAACCCAGGACTGAGGCTGTAGATCCAGGGCTGAGGCTGTAGACCCAGGACTGAGGCTGTAAACCCAGGACTGAGACTACAGTAAGGTCTTCTTCTTCACATTTGACGCAGTGCAGAATATTAACTGTGATGTGGCTCTGGGGCCCCTCACAATGAGCAGCAATGTTCAGAGACACAGACACACAGACACAGAGAAACAGACACAGAGACACAGAGACACAGAGACAGAGACACAGACACTGAGACACAGAGACACAGACACTGAGACACAGACACAAAGATAGAGACACAAAGATAGAGACACAGACACAGACACAGAGACAGAGACACAGAGAAACAGACACACAGAGACAGAGACACAGACACAGAGACACAGACACTGAGACACAGACACAGAGACACTGAGACACAGACACACAGACACTGAGACACAGACACAAAGATAGAGACACAGACACAGAGACAGAGACAGAAACAGAGACACAGAGACAGAGACAGAAACAGAGACACAGACACTGAGACACAGACACACAGACACTGAGACACAGACACAAAGATAGAGACACAGACACAGAGACAGAGACACAGAGACAGAAACAGAGACACAGACACTGAGACACAGACACACAGACACTGAGACACAGACACAAAGATAGAGACACAGACACAGAGACAGAGACAGAAACAGAGACACAGACACACAGACACACAGACACTGAGACACAGACAAACAGACACAGACACAAAGATAGAGACAGAAACAGAGACACAGACACTGAGACACAGACACACAGAGACAGAAACAGAGACACAGACACAAACAGAGGAGGGGGCGGGGCAGGAGGCGGGGTCAGAGGTTGGGGGCGGGGCAGGGGTCAATACAATGACATAATTGTAAACACTTTTAACTCTTTAAGTATCACCTATTTTTGCCTGTTTCTTCTCAAATATGAAGCCCAAATGGAAATGCTTGTGTCTGATGTTGTGTTATGATGCCTCTTCGATAGGTAACACCTTCTAGTTTCTGGAAATGTATTTTACAGTTTGTTAGGGAGGACACAGTCTGTCTGCACTACACCTTCTCAAACATGGGTCAAACTTATTTTGTTTGTCTTGAAAAAAAGTTTCAAAAGGCATACTTTATGGCATGTTGTTCAAACTCACCAGAGCAGATATCTGTGGTGTTGGCAACAACTTTATGAAATTTTAGACCTTTAGGTGGAACCATTTTGACGCTGGGGGCTTTTTTGTAACTAATAGGCACATTCGACACAAGTGGTCCATTTTTGTGCCAACTGTGCCAACTGTGCCAAATGTGCCAAAGTGTTTTACATGCACATTATCAATGTTATTACACTAAATATCAAATGATATCATTTTTTTGGCTATTAATCTTGCTATAAATATGATTTTATCCAGATATTGAAATGTTTGCAGAAAAGCTATTATTTATATAGATAATATATGGATAATTTATAAACATCCAAATTGGATGTTGTCGTGACGCACAGATATGAAAATGACTGGAGCGCTGAAATTTTGTGCGCTTGTTTTAATCAACTGGATCTGCACCCAAACCACAGCACTGAAAAGTCCGGGAATGCTTGTTTTGAAGGGAAGGCTGAGAGGAAGACGAACATAACCAGTGACGCTGGAGAAAGACTAAAATTGTCTCCTCATACAGTGCGCTAACAAGGCGTTTTATTTTTGTTTGTTCAACTTTCAATACTCAAATGTATTGTTACAAGTCAATATCTACTACAAGGATGACTTTGAAGGAAAAACAACTGGATATAATTATTCTCTGGACCCTCACGGACAAAAAGAATGCACACATGTGTGGATTAGACGTGATTAGCCCCAGAATATTAGCGTGAAAAGGTAGGAAAGGACATTATATATTTTTTATATATTTACATCTTAACCACTTATCTTACTTTTGGTGATATTGAATGTTTATTTGAAGATAATGTGCGTTTAGAGGTGGGAATATGCTTTTAAAAGAGATATAGCTTGACTATATTGACACAAGTGAATTCTAATACTGATGCTGCTAAACCAGAGAGAGACCAGAGAGAGAGACCAGAGAGAGACCAGAGAGAGACCAGAGAGAGACCAGAGAAAGACCAGAGAGAGACCAGAGAGAGAGACCAGAGAGAGACCAGAGAGATACCAGAGAAAGACCAGAGAGAGACCAGAGAGAGACCAGAAAGAAAGACCAGAGAGAGACCAGAGAGAGAGTCTCTCTCTCTGGTCTCTCTCTGGTTGTAGCAGGACATACTGAGTGTATTCTTTATGATGAAACAAAACCCTCAGACACATGTGAGTTGATGGTCCCTGCTCCATCGATCCTCTCTGTGTGGAACCATGTGGCTGTTTGTGATGTGACCACAGGGGGCGCCCTTTTAGCCGAGCAGCAGGAGGCGGAGTCTGTCTACAGCTGTCAGTGTTCCATCTCCACGTGAAGCGAGAGAGAGGGGAGAGAGGGAGGAGGGAAACGGGGGAGAGGAGGGAGAGAGTTTCTATAGAACTGCATTTTAAAGCTCAGGTTTACACTGATGCTTTATGACAAAAGAATTGTGGTTCTCTGGTCTCTCTCTGGTCTCTCTCTTTGAGCTCTCTCTGGTCTCTCTCTGGTCTCCCTCTGGTCCACGTCTTGATTGCAGACCTAACCCTCCCACGGAGCTCAGCTCAATGATGCAGTGATTGCAGCCAGAGCGCGAGGCCAAATCAGCCCCATAGTCTGCAGGGAGGGGGATGAGGGGGGAGAAAGCCCAGCCCTCCCCTCCTCCCCGTTATCTCCATTAGCACCTGCCGAGCTAACGAAGGGCCTGAGAGTGCGTTTCCATGGTTACGCCTAACGCTCTCTCAGGTGTCGGGCGATAAGTGTTTGTGGACCATGTGGTACTCCAGGCTTTATAACCAGATCAATGATGTCGTTAGGATTAAAGCTAAGGTACCTAACTTCAAAAAATATGTTCACTAGTTCCTGGCTTTAAAACAGACCATTTCAATCACTGGTTGGTCTCTCTTTGGTCTCTCTCTGGTCTCTCTCTGGTCTCTATCTCTGGTCTCTCTCTACTCTACAACATTGAAAATAAATGTCTTTAAAGGAACAATATGTAAAAATCTGGCCAAAAGTGGTACTGCAGTCACAGTCAATATTTTGTAGTCCTCTCCCACTCTCCCTGACTCAGGTTGCCAGATTCACACCAAATCCAGCAGCAAACACAGGGAATTATTGATTGACTGCGGAACCTTCCGCAGTCAACCATTGGTTTTGTATTTCTTTATTCCGTCATTTTTTTTGACACGTTTCACAGCTTTCACATTTTCAACAATTTCCACAAGTTATACATCAAAACGTTCCACATGTTTGGGAGATTATTGCTATTACTTTTGGGACTTCAGCGATTTCCGGTTTTTCCGCAATCGGACAAAAATCTGCATTGAGAATTCTGCAATGCATTTTAATAGGCCCATGCATTTTAATAGGACTTCAGCTCTTTCAGACA